ATCCACCAAGTCAAAGAGCTGCAGCCATGGCCATTCTATTGCTGTCATCAACCAGGATCACAGAAATTACAATAATCTGGAACAAACAACTCCAAAAGCAATCTATAAGCACAAATATCTGCCTAGTGCTTTATCAAGAGGACCAAAAAGCTGAGCTTTTCACCCGCAGTCTGCAGAACACGGGCAATCCACAGAGCAGGTTTGCAAGGAGGCACGAACAAGAGCAATTTTGAAGCAATTGAGACACGCTGGCAAATAATTTGCCAGGAGAAATCAAAGGGGAAAGTCACCGAGTCATCTTTTTGTTGTGGATTTTTTTTTTTTTTAAATCTCGTCCAGCTGGCTGTAAGAGGAGTCATTATTCCCCTGTAACACTGGAGGATATGGCACACCAGACACGCACATCCCTTGTCAGGCAGCTTGTTTGCATAGGGCTTGGAGGCCCTCTGCAGCAAGATGGTACAGCAGAGCATGGCAAAGAGGCTCTCATTGAATATGGATGCCCACCTGCCTGCTGAATTGAGATGAAGGTCTCAGAGGCTCCTTTGCTTCACTCATGTTCAAATACCACGTCGATGACAAAGAGCCTCCCCAGAACAAAGTGACGAGCGTGGAGGGGGATGTGGGGAGACACGTTGCCACAACGCAGGAAGGCAAAGAAATTTGTTTGTTGACACCTTGTTCTCAACCTCCAAGGTACTAATCATCTTCCCAGTGTTTTTCACTTCAAACCATCTGATCCTGCTCAAATGCATGGGGGCCCAGATTTTTGTGGAGAGCCAGCAAAAAGAAGTCCATCTCCATCGAAAATGTACACTTGTTCCCTCAACACCTTTATTATTAATTGCTATAAAACTTAATTTTATTCATCGTTCGTTATGCCTCCAAATTGGATGGGAAAAAAATTCAAATTAGGCAAAGTGAAAAGATTTCAGAGATGGTACAGAAGGCTCCTGAAGGAACTGAAGAAAACTCTCCGGAGACTGGGAATGTAGTGCTAACCCAACCTGAAAGAAAGATCTTAAGACAAAGAAATCTTGCCAAATTGATCCTTTAATTATAACATTAGTCGTTTCTTTCAAAGGCTTAGTGCAAGAGCTGGGGGTGGGGGGCAGAAAAGACTTAAAGGGAGAAAAGACTTAACATCACCAGGATGAGTGGAAGCAATTAGGAGGATTTAAATTACTCTCTTGTTTAGTACAAGGCAGATGGATTTCATTTTTATTGCCATTGTGCTCGACTTCTTCCTCTGTGATCAGCTTCCAAAGGTCTTCTCCTTGGCTGGCCTGAGGATCCAGCCTTCCCAGGTCAGGCAGCATCCACTGTGCACCCACTCAGCTGTTGTTGAAGACCACAAATACCAGCGATTACAGCAACTTTGTTACCCTGGAAAGGGGTTGGAAGTACCAGACTGGATAGAGGAATGGAGCCTACCAGCCCTCAACAGGAGGATGATGCTGCAATGAATGGAGGAGGGTGACTGCATACCAGATCTGCAGAAGCTGGGGAAAGGGAGGTGGAAAAGAGTGAGAATGTAGCCTGTCTGGTATTGGGAACTCTGCATGAGTTCTCAGTGCTATTCCTCCAAGCATGACTTTTTTTAATCTTTGCTCTTTCACCCTCTTGCTCCCAGGGACAAACTAGACATAAACCATCTTCTTGCCAGGAGTGGCAGAGCAGGCAGGGGGTCCACAGTGGCTGGGAGAGGACCAGTGGTGAGCTGTGGTCACTTCTGGGGTGGCATTACTGCTGCTGGAAGCAGGGATAGGAGACAGTACAGCTCTCATCGTGTCTCTGCTGCTCTGGAGACACAGTCTGAACACACATATCCAAATTGTTTTACACGAGGAACAGCTGAGGAGAAAAAAAACCAAACCAAAACTCAGCAATTTCACTAAAAAAAGGAGAGGAAATCTTTGCAAATCTCCAGCACGGGGCATGTGCAACTTCTCAGGCCACAAGACAGCATCAAGCAATACTTGATATGAGTCTCAGCATCTTCCCAAGCTCCCAAATGCACCAGCTGCCACATGGCAGAAAACAGGGCATTTCAATGGATGCTCCATCCTCGCTCGCTCCCACTGACTCTCTTCTGCCAGGATTATTTCAGTAGCTTGTGTAGCTTTAAAAGCTGAGCAGTCACATCTCCTTGGGCTCCGTACCTGCTCTCAAAGAGGAACGGGGCCAAGTTGTTTTTTTTTCTTCTTTCCTGCTTTCAGTTAGAATTAATTGATCTGTAATTGCACCCATAGAGGGGGAAAGTTAATAGACACAGTAATAAATGCCAAAGCCACAGAAGAACTTGCTCTCCAAGCCCCTGCCTGGAGCAGCTCCATCTCCTCTTAATAGCGTCGCACGCAATTCCAGTGCCTGTGTGCCTGTTAGTATTTAGGGAGAGAAATCGAGGAGCCTTGGTATGATGATTTCTTTTCCTCTCCCACATACTTTGTGCTTAAGGAGCAGATGGATCCAGGCTGTTTACATCACGGAGGTCATGCCTCAGCTTAACAGTTGGGGAACTGACTGTTGGGAGGGATGCTCATCGCAACCAGAAGATTGCTAAATCTGGGCTCCAGCAAGCTTCTGCTGGTGGCAAATTAAACATACAAATGTCCTCCTGCAGCCTCTTTGCATTCGGGACCTACCCCGGGTGTTTGACTGTTGCCCCAAAGAAAACCCCTGCCAAGATGAGGTGAGGGCAGAGGCAGCTCTGCAGCAGCTCCTGAGTGCCAACTTGGAGGAGAAGTCTGGAAGTCCCGAGCAGACCTTGTTATTCACTGAAGCAGACGGAGCAGTTCGCAAGCAACATGGGTCCAGACCTCTGGAAGCAGGTTACCAGGGCTCAGCGCTCACCAGTGTGCCCCATGTTAACTGAGTGACCATGATTTCAGCCAGCTGGGAACAGTCTGTCTCCCTCCAAAGCAGTGATGTAATGCCAGGGAAGGAATTCCTTTGAGTGGAGGTGTAGCTTACTCCCAAAGTGACCATCTCCTCTCAGCTCAGCCCAGCCGCAGGGCACACCGGCGTATCCAGACCCTGCCTGTTCATCCAGCTCAGAGCTGAGCAATGGAAAGGTCACCCTTCCCCTCCTGCAGCAGAGCCAAGTGCTCTCTTCCAGCACAAGAGGATTGTGGTAAGTGTTAAAAACAATAAAAACTAAGCAAACAGAGCAAGGAACAAAGCTCTTCTTGCTGTGCTCAAGAACATTCATTGTTTGCCTGCAGAAGTACCTTCTCCTGCTGTCAGCAGCTTCGGATGCTTCACCCCCACTGAGGTACTGCATCCACGGAGCTGCAGAGGATGTGGCCGTGTCACACACGGTGGCCTTGCCATCGAGTGGCAGAGCCCAGCTCGCCACCTCCGCTCACCTCGCTCAGCCCTCCGGGAAGCTGAGCAGTCCTGCTTTTCCCTAGATATCTGGCACGCCACGAGAGCATCTCCATTGCCAATTAGGCCACCCACCCACTTGCATCCTTCCCCAATACAAACCCTATTAGCAATAAACAAACAGTCGAAATGCCAGCCAGTGCCTGGGAAGAGCCCTAGACAACTGCATCCAATTCAGCGGGTATGGAAACAGCTGCCTTGTGCAGGCCCGGGGCAGGAAAGCACCAAGATGAACCAGGGCATGGTCAGGCATCCCATGAGCCCCCCTCTGGTCCTCTGGCCAGTGTCTGGCTTGCAGGCCAGAGCAGTGCTGCCTTGCTGTGTCCCCAAGCTGCTCACCAGAACCAAAAGCTCCCAAGTCCACACAACACACTACACTGACACAATTCAACATTCTAACAAGGGGGTTTCCCAGCTACCTAGCCCTGAGCTTCCTAACTTTCCTTCTTTAGGCTTTTGCAGGAAAGCTCCTGCTTGACACTTACACCCAGTTGGACTTTGCTCAAATGCCCAAGCTGGATGTGACATAAGAAATACAAAAGCCACCCAACACCGCTTGGATATCTTAATCCCCCATAAGAATTCCCTCCCTGTAAGGCAATGTGAAGCCTTTCCTGTAGCCTGTCTCCAGAGCCCCTGGACTCAGACCCCAGAATGAGATTTAGGGAAATTCAACCCACCAACAGACTCTGAAGAAGCCCAAACTGCTGCTCCAGAAATTCCTGAAACCACCACCATCACACCTGAACTCACAAAACAGGGACAGAAATGACCAAGGCCATTCTCTACCTTGATCCCTTCATTTAAGGGCTTTCCACCTGGCCAAAACAGTATTACAAAAGCTTTTGCTTTTTGGCATGGTGAGAAATTAGCTAAAAAGTTACCTGCTTCAGTAAGGGCAGAGGAGCCCACGTCCCCTTCCCATTGCAGGAGAGGACATGCTCTCCCCATGCACCAACCCCTGCCAGCGGTTGAGGATGTTGCTGATGCAACCACAGTTCATTGTCATGGAGACAAGACTTTTTCTCTCTAAACCCAGTTTAATGGCTTGGATTAAAACCGCCTTTCCCCTGGGAAGTGCAGAACAGGAACAGCTGCATTGTCCCTACGTCTCTGGTTTGTCCACCTGCACCCCAGGCACTCCTACTCTCACCAGTGTGCATCCCCCACCAGCGCTGGGCACATCTCCCTGGGCACAGCCTGCACAGCATGGAGGTGCCCTGCATCACCCCCCAGGACCCACCCCAACCCATGCCCACCATATTCCATCAGCCAGCAAATCCACACCCCACTACAAACCCATCCTGGACTCAAATGCATTTCCATAAGACCTCCCCCACGTCTCTCCCCTCTGGCAGGTCCCAAGCAGCCAGATCCCCACTGACCATCGATTACAGGTGACCAAAACCACGAGCTCTTCAGCCACACAGAACAGCAAGAAAGCATCATCAAGGCTGCCCCTTTCCCAGCCCCCAGGAAGAGAGAGCCAAGCATAGCCAGGGAACAATCCCTTGCTGGGGTCCTGGGGGACACAGCAGTTCCAGGGGCCATCCTGGGGGCTCTGAAACATGCAAGGGGCACAGCCCAGAGGGGAAGGACCACGTCTCACTTACCCTGACAGCACTCCCAGGACAAGGTTGAGGACAAAGAAGGATCCAATGATGATGAGGGGGATGAAGTACAGCCAGTTCCAGGTGGCTCCTAAGGCATCATTGGTCTGGAGGGGAAAGAAAAAACACGTGTGATGTTACCTTCAATAGCAGCAACACGTGGTGGCGATTCTCCTTCCAGGTTGACCACACTGGGCTCCTCAGGATAATGTGGCCATGCCTGTCAAGACTTGGTGGGCACCCTACAGAGGAACTCCCCACCAGCAGAGCCCTGATGGCCCTCGGCATCCTGCCCCAGCCATACTCCCTCCAGTCTCCAGCCCCCATAGGCCAGGACCGCTTTCCTCCACCTCATCTGCCCACCCCTGCAAGGACACGGGGTGTTAAGGCAATGGTATAGTCAAAAGTGCAGGGTCCTGCAGCCCAAAATCAGGGTGTTGAGGGCAAGAGGGCCACCCTGAGCACGTTTTCCCTAGCAGCTTGACCCAGTGCTCCCCTGCACATCCCACCAAGATGGGGTGAAGCAGCCCCGGAGCAGCAGTGCCTGCTGAGCACAGATTTATAAGGTACCGTAAGACCAGAGAAGCTGGTGTCTAAAGAAGGGGCAGCCAATGTTTGTCCTTTAATGCACAGTTGGATACCTTCAAATGGGCATTTTGCTGCTGGCATCATTACTAATTCTTCGCAGACACCCTCCCACCCTGGGTACCTTACCCCATATCCGAGGAGCTGAGATCAGAGGGGAGCTGTAACCGCAGGGTACAGCCCGACGGCTATAACGGCTCCTGACGAGCCCTGCTCAATACCTCCAGACATTAATTCACCGAGGGTTTTAATAAAGCAGTGCCCCTCTGTCCCTGTTTCCCAGGCCCCATTTGTCCTCCGGTGTCAGGCACGGTGCACATGACGCCGGGCTGGAGGGTGATGCGGCAGAACGTGACTGTCTGGGGGAGGTGGTATCAATCTTGTTGCGATGAAAGACTCTTTCTCTTTTCTCTCTCTTCCCCCCTCCTCTCCCTGTGCTAATTAAGCCCTCATCTTCATCTGAGTCATTGGCACCACGTCTCCCGGTCAGCCAGTGCAGGAGCTCAGGCGAGGCTCTGCAAGAGAAGTGTGTCTCCAAGGGGGAAAGAAAGCCACCGCGCTGGAGTCTTCCTCCAGTGACTGAGGCACCAGTGGGAACTTCAGCTGGGTGTCCCCAGCACCCTGACACTGATTCCAATGAAGGACTGGTAACACCAGCATGCCCCAATGCACTGGGACGAGGATGCTGTAGCAGAGACCTCAGTGACAAGGCCGGGGAAAGCATCTGGAAGGACTCACCGCCCTCCTCCTTTGGCACCGGGGAAACCACACACATCTTCCCAAGATCTTGCACTTTCAGGAGCCCCAGTCCACCTCCAGCCCCTTTCTTCAGAGCAATGGGAGAAGCGAGTGCAGGGATGAAGGAATGAAGCACAGGAATTCCGTGCATTCAGTGTTCATCACCACCCTCCAGAGACACTCAGGCCACTCTGCTCTGCTCTAACAGCACCACTGGCCATGGCATTAGTCTTCAAGGCACCACGTAGCCCTCAGCTCAAGCTTGGCTGGGCTTCAGCTCCCTGCCGAGACGCCTCTGTGTACCTGCCACCCATGCTAGGATTGCTCGCATTTGAAACAGGCTCCCACCTAAAAATCACAGGTTTTCCCAAAGGTCCTTGTTATGGAGAATGGAAAACAGATGAGCTCCTTTCCTATAGGAGAATGAGACAAGGAAAAGCTGAGGCAGGGGCTTGGCAGGATCCCAACAGGACAGGCTGTCTGCAATCCTGACCTCTATGTTCATTTGGGTACCCAGATCCCACGGAGGTGGAGGCAAAGGGGATTAGAGAGATTTTTTAAGGAGGTTTGGGAGGTTACATGTCCAGCACCACTAGCAGCCAGCAGCTCCAGGAAGGACACTTCTGAGGCAAAGGAGGGGATAGTCATGGACCCACACACTCAAGGACACACCACTGGTCACAGCGAGCTCAGGGAGGGTCCCAGCCACCCAGGCTGATGCCAGCAGCCCCAGGAACAGCACTGCCCCCAGCAGCCTCCTGGCTGGTGCCAGCTTTGCTGGGATCCCCCACCCCAAAATAAAATTTCCCAGGGGACATCCCAACGCTCCCTACAAACCCAGGAGCTGGTGATGCCCAGTCAGGATGCAATGGCTCCAGACTGTCACCTGGTACATGCTCAACCACTCTGACTGCCAAAAACTAAGTATCCCCACTGGAAGGCTCCTCAGGCGGATGCTCCAATGGTTGCTGTAATTCTCAGCCTAAATTTATTTGTGGTCATTTTATATACCACTCTATTCTTTTGCCAGCATTGGCCTTGGGCTGAAATAGCTCTTTTCCTTCCCATTTCCCATCCTGATCTATTTATAGACAGCAATCATGGCCATCTCCAGCCTCTGCTTTGCTAGCCAAAGCAAGGTTCTTCCAGTTCTCTCTTGCATGACTGGCTCTCCTGCCTTATTTACCAAGTAGCCCCTTCCCTCCTCCTGTCCAGGCTCAGTCCATCTTCCCTGGACACAGGAGATCTGAGTGAGTGATTCGATGGGTCCCACTCCATCCCTTCATGATGCTACAGAGATTTTGCCATCCCACCTTCAATCCTCTCTCCTCCTCCACGGCACTGCTGCCCTGTGGTCACCTCACGGTCACCCTGATGTCACCCACACTCATCCTCTCCTCCTCCACACTGCTGCTTCCCCATCAGCAAGACCTAAGCTCCAAGGAGATATCTTTGCTGCTCCTCAACAAGCACATGGCTTTCCATTTCTCACTGCATCCCACATCTCTTCCTCCAGCCCTCAAATGCCTCCAGCCCAGAGTAGCAGTCTCCATCCCTCCACCTCCAGGAAGCCAGTCGATGCTGGAAGCAGGAAAGCCCATGACTCATCCCCAAGGACTCCACTGGTTGCTGACATCCTCTATATCCCCTCAACACCACTCAGGATCATCCCAGTACTACTTTGCTTTCCTGCTCCTCGTCCCCTTCCCCTCTTCTCTGCTTCATTAACACTCTCCCATAGCAAAAGCTTTACTACAAAGAGCAGCTCTACAACGTTTCCAGGCCTCCGATGCCAGGTTAGCCCGGAGTGACCTACCTTTGGCAAACCCATGATTCATTTTCCTCTCCTGCCTTCCAAATCTGTTCCGAAATGGCATGCGATCGAGGTCAGGCTTACAGTCCTATTCCTGCCTGCCTTACTTTTCTTCCCCTCCTCCCCCCACTTTTAAATATAGGCATCACATTCGCTATTCTCCAGTCAGATGGTGCCTCCCCCAACTCGATGGAGTTGTTAAAAATACTTGTTACCAGACCTGCCATTTCATGTGCCAGCTCCCTCCAAGCATGGGGGGGAGGCCATCCCGAGGGCCTGGCTGATGGGTGCCATGGTCTCAGTGATTGGTTTCCACGTTGGCCGCGCTCACGGACGTGTCCTCGTTCCCAATATCCAGCCTTTTGTTGCTTTGTGTTGACCAGAAGTTGGGGTGAAATATCCATCCATGCCCAAATGTCCCCAGACATCATTTCACTGTGCCTTGCTTCCATCTGCAGAGGTGGGGAACCGCTCACTGCTCCTTTGAGCATCCTCCATGAGGTCTGTGTCAACATGACCTTTGGTGGCTCTCACAGCATTTCCCAACTAATTTTAGCACCAAGAAGTAGTTGTCTTAACTGAGCAGCCCCTTTTCCCATTCTTTTGGGGCATCATTTGCTCTTAATATCCCTCTGTAGGCAGTGGTTCATCACCTTGGTCCACTGTGCCTTCCCACATTGTTTTTCCCCCTTTGCTGAAGGTACCAGGAGGTTGTCATGTGCAGAATTCAGGATAGACACAGGGAGTTTAATCCCCAAATTACACCAATGCTGTAACTCCTTTAATGAAGAAACTCCTGGTTCCTGCCCCAGCTCTCAGTGCAGCAGGCCAAGTCCCAACACTCATTCAAGCTCTTGGGGAAATGTAAGAGCTGCCCGACCTTTGCTGCTTCTTCCCTTCCCTTTAAGACAACCACCTTCTCATTGTGCACCCCATCAGCCTAAACCAGCACCTCTCAAACTCTCCCGTGGCCACCAGACCAAAAAAAACATTTTCTGCTGCTTCCAGGCACACCTCAGACACCAACACAACCAGCATGAGCTTGTCACAGCTTCTTCCCCAAGGGACCACACACCCAAGGGTGTTTCCCCATACCAAGGCTTTGGTGGAGACTCCCAGCCTGAGCTAAACCACCACACTCACATCTTGGCACAACCAATTCTGCTGCCAGCAAAACCCTCTGAGCCCATAAATGACACTACCAGGGTGTAGGAGCAGGATCCTCACGAGGAAACAGAGCCAGCACAGTGGACCCCAGCCCAGAGCAGGAACCCCCACCAACCTCTGCTTCTCAACCCCCCAAGCACCAGCTTATTCTTTAGGCAGCTCTTGTGTTGTTGTGGGTTTTTTGGTGGTTTTTTTTTGTTTTTTTTCCAAAGGGCAGGAAAAGGCCCAGGGAGCTGCAAAAGCAGGTCTCACTCAGGGGGCCAGAAATCTAAAGAAATCTAAATATATACTCAAGTCGAATGCAAAGCACAAGCGCGCAGCCCACACGTACCCTCCCTCGGGCTGCGGCGCATGGGAAACTTTAGGATTTCTTTGCTACAGGGGAAGGGGAGGGGAGAAAAAAAAAACCTCAATAAACCCCTCAGTCTCTCCTAGCCAAAAATAAACAGAGAGCATGTACTGTCTGTGCAGGGTGCCTTAGTGGCCACTCATTGCTCACCAGCGCAGGGAGGGGAACTGGGGACCGAGTGTCCGGGCACCCAGCTCATCTGGGGAGCAGCAGGACACAGGGAGCCACTGGGTTTCATTCACACAGAGATTATAGAATCCTAGAACATTCTGGGTTGGAAGGAACATTAAAGATCACTTCGTTCCAAGCCCTCTGCCATGGGCAGGGACACCTTCCACTAGACCAGGGTGCTCAGAGCCCCATCCAACCTGGCCTTGAGCACTTCCAGGGACGGGGCAGCCACAGCTTCTCTGGGCAACCTGTGCCAGGGCCTCACCACCCTCACAGGGAAGAAT